CAGCAACAACAACAACAACACCAACACCAACACCAACAGTACCAACAACAACACCAACATCAACACCAACAACAACACCAACAGCAACACCAACAGCAACAACAACAGCAACCAACCAACCCGGGCACCTTATCGGGGGGAACCTTTGCCAGGACTTTGAGCCGCTGCACTTGATGAATGCTGCCTGGGCCTTGGCACGCTGGCAACGGCATTGTCGCTTGGCAGGGCTGCCGCAGGCGAGCCGGTGGGATGTTTGGTGCTGGTGGGAAGATGCTGTTTCAATAGTGCAATGGGAAAACGGATAGAACGGGATCACTTTGGCTGGATCAGGGCTATGGGGGGCGCAGAAGTAACACGAAACTCAATGTAAAACACATGGATGCAACACAATACAAACATGCACAAACAGTTTAACAAAACAAAGCGCGCACTGAGCATTCATCATGGCAATATCGCCCGATCAGCAAAAACCGCACTGCGGGGTCTCTGTGAGAATCGCCATTTTGTTTCTTGGGGTTGCTTGCCAACCCCCAACCAAGCCAATAATGGATCAGCACTCACGGCTTGCGCGACTTGCGCAACAGTAGCACAGAACTTAGGCAATAAATGAGTCGAGATTCAAGGTGGCCTGGTACACGAACACCTTTTTCAGGACTTTTTTGAGAACCTCAGGCGCCCCAAGACTTGTGCAATCCTTTGTTCATCCCCTCAATGTTAGGCTCTTTCGACCACAAAGGCCGTGCTTTAAGAATTGATGTTCACCTTTATGCCATTGCTTCACAGCAACTCCTTCCAAAGCTTCATAGTGGTCAGAATCCAAACCCACCACCCCATCCGCTCTCAAAGAAGCACATCAAACATCCACATTCTGGGCAGACTTATTCTGGTTTCCTCCTCATTCTGGGCAGAGGAGTGCAAAGACTACGTTTGCCGCCCAGCTTTGCGGATCTTGGCCGCGGAGGCGGCCAAGGACTTCAGTCGCTTCGGCGCGCGGGAGCTTTCACGGCTGATGTGGGCAGTGGCAAGTCAGTCCTGCTGCTGGGCGGAAGACTGCACGATGTTGGATATGTATTCAAATATATTCAAATGTATTTAAGAATGTATTTAAAAATGTATTCAAATGTGTGTTTTTTTTGACATATTGACATATACATGTCTAATGTTACATTGTTTATCCCCATGGAGCCACGTGTTGGGCCCAATGAAAGGAGTTGCGCCATTTTCAGCAGTTGAAGTCGAGGAGGCTGTCTTGAGGATGGACGGCCCAGGGGTTGGGACGGATCAACACGACACATCAAGATGCTTGACTTGAAGCTTCTAGTAGCGTCCTTGCTCCTAGTAGTACGGCCAGGAGCCCCTAGTAGGGTCCTTGCTCCTATATGGGGGATCCTCATCCGATCACCATGACAACTTCACATTTTTTTTGGGAGGCTATGATCCTCTTCCATGGCTCAACGGTGCCCAGGCCTGAGGCTGCGAGAGATGGGGCCACCCCTGCGCGACTATGTGAGGCACCGGCTTTGGGGTGGGAGAACCCGGGTCAAGAACAGTCCACATGTCTAGGGACATATGGGATGGGCCAAAAAGGGCTGTTCAACGTCTCTAGGATCTTTCCCTTGCCCTCACGAGACTTCATCCTCATCATCCTCTTCAGTCAATCCGAAAGCGGCCTCCACGTTTTGGTTCAATTAGGACTTAAGATGCAAACTTCTAGACCACCAGCCTGGGAGTTTCTCCTTGTTTGGGGGGGGGACCTCCATTTTGGGGAGGCCGCTCTTGGAATCCAACAGAATCCGTCCCAGTGGCACTGCCATCAACACCGTTCTCGGCACGCCGCGAGTTCGGCACCGAGAACACGGCAGGTCATCACAACTTCAGGCGTTTGACCCTGATGACCTCGTGAGTTTGGCCACTGGGCACCGTTGGGATGCGGTGATCGTTTTGGGCCAACAGCGGTTGGGAAAGGCCAGGCATGTAAACACATCTCAACACCCATCGTCACTCGGAAAAATATATTTCCCTGGAAAGTTATTCGTTCTTTCTTTTTCTTTCTTTCTTTCTTTCTTTCTTTCTTTCTTTCTCTCTCTCTCTCTCTTCCTTCTGCACGCATGCCACCACGGAAAAAATCCCACCATACATTGTTTCGGCATTTTGCGGCAGTGTAGACCTCGGACTCTTATATGTGGTGCTTTGATGTTTCCTGGGAGGCCCCCTAACCATGATAGAATGAATTGTTGCAAAATCCTGTGGCAACCCCAGGTATAGTCTAAGAAGAAATGCGAAAGCGATCATAAATCCTTAATCAATCTTAATCATATTGACAATGTCGGCCAGGAGAAGGAATGATTGATTCCTAAGATTATCAATCCCAATTGTAAGGTCCCCCACAAAGAGCCTAGGACACTTAGGCACGTGGAATTCAAAGACTTTTTCTTCAGCTCAGGCCACTTCGCTCTCCTGGATGCTGGAGCGCTTGGTTTGGGAGCTTCCTGCGCGCCGCACGCACTCCCGGGTGAGTCAGGAGCTCAGGGGTGCAGATGAGGAGACCAAGTACAGATGATTGGCTGATCTGAGTCAAGGAGTCTTTGGGCTGTTGCCAAAACATACCAAAACCAAGCCAACAGCCCAAAGTTGGTTTTGAGTTGATGTTAAGTCTTCCCCCACGTGTTGCGTTGTCTTGTCGATTGTCCCATGTTTGAGTGTTCACTCTCAAGACACTCCAGATAGGGCAAGCTCTCACATTGACAAGGGCATACTGAGCTTATAGCCCCCCCAGTCTGACAATACTCTTGAGAATTTGCTTGGGTCAGTGGTGATGTTATGAGATGATGTTGATGGAACTGAGGCCGGCAAGCAGTAGTGTGTGTTTTTTGCTTCCACTCCCGGACCTCAGGGTGACCATTTCCACTTTCTGGCAGCTCCCGCAATGAGGTGGGCCCATTCCTGGAGGCTCACCTCAACGTCCGCCGCCACCGAGTAGAAAGAGATGCCAAAGCTGGCTCAAGACACGGCTGGTTGGATTTTCGACCATCTTGGAAGGTTAAGGGGTCATCAACCCTCCAAGAGAAATATCGAGAGGTGAGGCGCATGAGATCCATCCTGAGTCACTGAGCTGTTTTTTTGGGGGAACCTGCACTTGTGCAAACTGAGAGAGTCATCACTTTGGTTATTTTTTGTACCTATGATGTCTACAAAGGTGTGGATAGTTGCGCCTCGTTGTGCCTGAGGGTTCTGCACCGGGCTTCGCATGAAATGAGCCATTTTGCTCCCAGAGGAGTCGGGGGGGTGCCCACCGAACTGGACGCCATGGACGCGCTGGCCTTTGTGGGACCGAGCTGCTGAGCTCTCCGTAGATGGCACCACCTGTATGGCATTCGGAAACATTGGGTGATTGTTCCAACACCGACACCTCTTGTTGTTAAAAAACGACCAAGGAAATATGTAGTTGTTATATATAGATAGTGCATGCGTTGCCTAGTAACTAGTATGACCCCAACAGCGCCTAAGGCTTACCACAGCAGCAGTTGCTGCCATCGGCACCACACATTCGGGGAAGCCAGGCACCTTCGCCTCAGCCGTGGCATGCTCAGCATAATCGAAACTAAACAACAAAATACAACATATTCACTGCAGAATCACAAGAGTAACAAAAACGGAGAGCTTTTCTTCATCCGGCTCGTTGGGCCTTCAAATTCGATTCTCGTGCTTAACCAAAAGCTTTTGGCGAATGCGTGGCATGAAGCTTTGGCGGACCCATGACGCTCACAAGCTGACATGGGGCCGGCCTTACCACTAGTGTCAGTTCTTGTTGAATTGTTCACTGAAAAAAATGCCTTCGCCGTTGATCCTTGGCTTTGGACGGCGATTTCGCCGGACTTGTTGATGCCTACGACGCTTCTCCACATCCATCCGTCTCCGAGGTCCAGCGGTCTCATTCCCTTGGCCTCTGCGGCCACTGTGTTCGTGGCTGCAAGGATGAGGACCCGCCAGGCTTAAACGATGGTATTCAATCTGAGGAAATCAGCCGTACCACTTTGGATATACATAAGCATTATATATTAATATATATATATATGTGTGTGTATTGTTTGACAGCCGAGTCTCTGACAATCCGTGTGTATATATATATATATACATACATATATATATATATAATATCTGTATATAAACGAACTATAAACATATTTACAGTTTATATACACATATGTGTGATTCTGTGTGTGTGCAGAATTCATGTGGATCTTTCTGAAGGAGTCACATCCTTGTGACAGGTGAAGACGGTGATGTATGAGAGCCAAAGTAACGTCGCTGCTGAGCCATATGGAGCTGCATTGGTCGGGATATGGGTATGATGTATGTCAGAAACAGGCAACATACATACAGTGGTTTCAGAGTAGATTGTGCAATCCCCAAAAGGCGGTTTATATGGACCCCCCTTTTACAAAACATCTTTGGTTTGTGGCATCTATCCTGAAACCACTGTAGAGAAGGACATCTCGAGATGTTGCTTTGGGTTTGGGATGCCTGAGGGGGTACTAGGTAGATAGGGTGGAGGGATGTGCGTTAGTTCACAAACGTTCTTGTTTCGTGACAGAATTTTCGCTCTTTCCTTGATTTCGCCCGGCATTCGCTTTTCTTCCCAAGGTCCGAGGGTTGCTGGGAAACATGGATGTTCCCATCAGGCATCCTGTTCATCAGGCATCCTGTTCATGCATGGAGTTAATACTGTTCAGTATCCTGTTCAGGCACCGATGTTTTGACTTTTTGGACTTAATTTGTTCATCGGCATGGTTGGACCCATCTTGGAGCACATATTCATTGCCAGTCCTGAGGGCTGAGCTGGGCGATTTGATGCACAGGTGCACCAGATTCATGCTATACTAATTTGTGTATATGTCTTGCTTGTTCCCGCCTTGTTCCATCAATTGTGGCACCCAAGAGTGCCCGCGGGTTTCAAGGAGACAACTGGCAAGTACACAAAGCTCGTGCAAGAGGATCGGATGATCACCGTTGAGGCGCCCGCCGCGGGCGGACTCGTCGGGATCCCAGTCCGGCTTCGCACGGACTGGTCACGGTCGGACGGCGAAAGGAGTCCAACTTGCGCTACGCTGGCGCTGCTCTCATCCTGCTCATTGGCATCTACAAGCAGCTCGGCTGACGTGATGCACAAAGAAAAAACACATGTGTTCGTGTGTGTGTGTGTGTGCCTACAGTGGCCTCCGCACCACTGGACAAGTCAACATCCCCTGGCCCTTATCGCAAAAAGAAAACAGATAAAGAAAACAGGTATGTGGGCATGATGTCTGCTGGGGTCTTCAACTACACCTCCATCGCCGCCGACGCTGCGGCTGCTTGGGCGGTCTTCGAGTCAGGCCGCCAATCTCTCTGAGGCCGTGGGGGTTGGGCGCAGGAACTCGTGTTATGTCATATGTCCAGGTCCTCCTTGAAACTTTCCCTGACCACTGCGATTTGGATTTCCTCTTGGCTGAAGGAGTGGTTGTGGGGTAAGGAATGTTGAGTTATTTTCATTTTGGTGGAAGGTTATAGAAACAACTAGACAGAAAATGGACCTCGATCTCCTTATTTGCACATTCAGTTTCATTCAGGTGCCTTTGGCTGCGTTTCTGATGCTGTTCCAAATGAGTTTGGTTTAAACGAGCAAAGTCAAAGGTGTTTAAGTGGATTTGATGGGCAAATATACCCCTTTGTCGAACTCAGTTCTACTATGAAATGTTCTTACACCCTCATTCCACCACCGCCGCCACTTCCTCAAAAAACAGTTTCCTAGCTCTTCAGGATGCGTGCTCGCCTTACGCTGGAATCTGGATAAACCGTTCTCAATGACTCAGCCACCTGCGGAGTACAAAGGCTTTCTGAGCAAGACGCTTGGAGGATTCAACGTGAAAATTTCCCGAGTCTTTGAAAGGTTATCCCGAGTCAAGCGCTCGATTTTGTTGTACAAGCTGTAGTTTTTGGACAACAACTGCGAAAAGAGACGGGACATCAACAGCACAGCAAAGGGGAGAGCAGTTATTTTTGTTGAACCACTTAAGTATGGAGCTGATTTTTTTTGTGGATGCGTCATTGGACCCGTCCAAGATGCACTCAAGTACATGCCATCACAGGCTCGCGCACATCCCGGCCGACGTCGCTGAAGGGACATTGTTCAGTCAAACAGTTGAGGGCATAGGGGTTCGGAGCTGAAAACTCGATAATCTTATATAACATATTTTAACTCACGTTAAGGGCATAGGGGTCCGCAAGATTTCTTCACTTTGGGATTAGGCCACCTTTAGGTCACGAATCCCCAGGCCCAAAAGAACACATTCATAACGTCACATGGGGGTGCCCACGTGGTGAAAGCGAGGAAGAGGCTGCAGGCGCTGCAGCTGGGTGGCCCTTCCGCGCTGGTGGGCGCTTTGGTTGCCACGGTGGCGGCTGCAGTGAACGGAGAGCTGGCAGCCGTGGCGGGGACCAAGCGGGGTTGGAGAGGTGATGGATGGGGTTTACTGGGGTGATAGATAGCCAAGTGTAGTGGTGAGAGCATGAACTGATGTTGTTTGCAGTTGCTGTCATGTTGTAATGATGTCATCATGTACGGTATTTGAAGAAAACTATGCATGGCTCGGCTAGACTTGAGACCGGCCGTGTTCCAATGAGAAGCACGTGAGAAATGATGATTGTATAGGAAGGGTAGGAGGGGTCTCCCTTTATGTGCTGATAGCATCCGATAGCGAGGGTTGATGGGATTTGATGGGTACAGTAGACATCCATGTGGTCGAGGGCAAAACATTAGGATAGCTGCAGAGAAAGATGGGAACGCGACCATGGTATTCTCAATGGCTTCTGTGAGGGAGAGCTAGCATGCAGCCACACAGCGTGAGCTAGCCAGCCAAGCCGAATCGGCGTTTCGGCAGGTTCCGACACTTCAAGGTTGCGGAGCCATTGGCCTCATCTCAGTCGTTATCGCTCAGGTCGTGAAACGACTTGAAAAATAGAGCCATCCGGGTGGGTTGTGTCACATGTGTATGCTTCTATTTGTTCGGTGAAGGTAACAGGTTCAGAGGACCAATGGCAGATTCTGGCGGTTGGTGTTCGCCCGTCAACACAGCCAGAGCTCGGAGGATGTCGGATGTGCAACACATCGCAATAACACAGTTTTACAACCAATTTTCGGGCTTCCGGAGCGTGTCTCCAGGCCCTTCTTTCGAGGCGGGCCCCAAAACACGAGTCGCAGCTTCTCTCAAACAAGAAAGGTTTATATTAAAGTTTGCACTCCTACTGTTTACGCCCAGTGCTTCCCTTTGGCATCAGTTTTGATGATGTGAGTCTCTGGTGGTTGTGACCAATTCGCAGTCAGGAATAATGCAAGCACCGTTTCAGGTAGATACGGATACTGGCTTTTTGCAATGGTGGATAGGCACCCAGCAAAAAGTGGCAGCACACAACCCCCTTTGTAGGGGCAGAGTGGTCGAGAGGGTGAAGGTAGTTTTAAGATTACATTGCTGCTGTGGCCTCTTGGGGCCCTGGCGCCAAAGCCGGCTCAGCGGGCTCGCTCAAAGCTTGGCCCTGGATATGTGATGCGGCCCAGGGAATCGTTCCCTCAGCCAGCGGAAGAGTCCAGGTTGAGAGTTTGAGAAGTCAAAGGCCGCAAAACTTCTTGTGCATCAACTCGGCAGCAGGTTTGAGATGGAGCGTGGGAGACCTGTTTGTGTTGTGAAGTATTTGTTTCAGCTTCGGACCTGAGGATTGCAAGTGGCCACCTGTCTAGTGAGCATATCATGGCGGTGTGAGAGGTTTTGACACACTTCTCGCAGCCGGGCTCGAATGGGCCCGGCATTAGCTTGTCATGGATGGGTCCACAGGCAAGGACAGGAGGGTAAGTTGTGACAAGCATGTTTCCTTCACTCATTTATCATGTGAATCTCAGCGGCACCCTTGAGAAAGCACTTGTACTTGATCCTGTTGGTTGGAGACCTTTCAACAAACACAAGTGTGTTCCGTAGTATTGGAATGTAAGATGGGCCTTTAATTGAGGTCAGAAGTGTGCTAGGTTGAGAAGCCAGAGCACTGAAGGGATGAATGTGGGTGGAAGTCCCCCCCTTTGAGCAGATGTCCAGATCTGACTGCAGGGAGCTTCATCGTTTGCATGTTTGATGTGAAAAAAAGGTGCATGCTTCCACAAAGTTCCAAATTGAACGGATCTCGAGAGGTTGTGCTGTGGGCTTTTACAAGCTGCTTGAAGCATGGCTGCCCAACCGCTCGCCAGTGCAAGAGGAGCAGCTTGAGCTTGCAATTGGAAGAGTTGGGGGGGAGCATTCCACCCTCCTGAAGATCTCACAGAAACATACAGAAACCTTTTTGCAAATTTGGCAGGAAAGTCCATCGTTTGCAGATGTTTGCAGGTGCTGCATGTTTCTAAGGCCGTTTAGCTCTACCTCCCCGCAAACAAAAGTAAAAAGTGAGTGAGCTTCATTGTGTTTTGCTTTCCCATTCTTGAGATGTCTTGAGCCACAGGAAAGAAGGAAAGAACCAGTATTCCGTCGATCCCAGGTTTCCTCAAGTTTGCAAGATCGCATCCTTACTGGAGCCCGAGCTCTATATGGCTCAGGCAGGTTCTGGCTTAGCGGTTCGATCGGGACACCGAAACACGTGCGATCGCCTTTTGTTTAGCCGGCCTCTGGCTTGTAACAGTTGGTGCCCACAGGCCCGCACGCCAGACCTGTGTGAGCCAGGCAGTAAGGGCTCATCAGCTCAAAGAGTTGCACAAGTCGACCAACGCAAGCTGTGAGCAGGCCAATTCGTTGGGCCAATTCGTGCTCCGACCTCACACTATAGCGATGGCGTGCGTGGGCGAGGGCGATGGCCGCGAACGTTGTGAATGTGTGATACGTGTGGTAGCACTTGAATCTCAGAAGCATAGGAGCTGCCGATGTGAAGATGGACTGCATGAACCAGATGAACCTGTGAATTGTGCGAATTTTGTAAGAAGAACTTGCGGTACGCAACAGGCTCCCTACCAGCACAGCTTTTGTCCAGTCTTTTGTTCATTTTGATATATTTTGATTGTCCCAGCTGTCAGCACTTGGAGGTTTTGCCAACGAGTGGTAGGCAGCATAATCCGGATGCTCAGACGCACTTGGTGCAGCCATTCCCACTTAGACGGGTAGATATCCGTAACATGTTTGGTGTTAAAGCACCGGGAAGATATTCCAACATGTCAAACTGTGGTTCCTAACACTCAAACAGTTTCAAAAAGGAACTGAAACGGAATGAAAACATGAAGAACATTGAAAACAAAACACCTTTACAAGCACACTTTTGATCTTGGAGTTGGATCAATCCCACACTCTGCATCCAACATCCTCGTCTACCAGGCCGACTTCGACACTGGAGACCTGGTGGTCTTAGGCGAGGTGCCTGGCTCGGCCTCCGGCGCGGCCGCGGTGGTGTGTGAGATGACGCCCTTGGACTGCCGCGTGGCGGTGCTCGACCCCTCGCGGAGCTCCAAGGTGGCAGAGACGCCCAGCTGCACGGGCCGCGGGGCTGACGCGGCTGAAGTGGCCGGGGGGTGAATGGCGATGGAACCTAGGAAGTAGATAGGAAAGGAGATCCCCTCCAAAAAGGTGTTGGAAATTTCCTGGAAATGGTTCTATTTACACACCAGCAGTTCAGCAGTTCCAACGAAGGGTGTAGGAGGATAGGGTGCCCAAGTGGGTGCCCAATATCCGCTCACTTCGGGACTAAAGCCCATTCCTTTGACCCATGTCACGTCAGAAGCATCCAAGTCCTGCCCCTAGAATCAAATTGCAAGTTGTTTAGCCTCACCACCAGTCAACAAGGAAGCCCGGTTGCAGTCCCAAGTGAGATGCTTTTGTTGTGGATGCGGATCCCAGATTTTTCCTGTATGTGTTAATTATATACATCCTCTTGATGAGACTAGTAGCGTCCTTGCTGCTAGTAGCGATGCCTTTGTTGCGTTCGTAGCTTCGCAAGGCCAGGAGCTACGTTCGTCGGGTCCTTGCTAATGATTCATTGTGGGCCCATCCCTGGGCTGGTTCCTTCATGTTCCTTCGTCCGAGGACCTACGTCAAGTCCTCGGACCTGCGTTTGATCCACCGCGACTGGCGTATCGGCCGGCGCCACATCATTGGCGGTTTGCAGTCCTCACGGATGAAGCACCTGAATGGGCTCAGTGCCAGCGTGAGGGAACACCGAAGATATGGGCACCCCTGCTTCGTTCCCAAGCCGGAGCGGTGACAGTTGGGTGACAGTCGGCTGGCCAGTCCTGCAGTTGTGCTTCGAAAACAGGGTCTCGAGTTGAAATAGGTGGGCATGGAATGGTAAAGGTGTCTGGAACATGTTGGAAAAAGGTGAGGAAAGAAGCCAGATGATCGGTTTCCCATGGCTTGCCAATGTTCTTCCTGGCTTTCCACCACTGCACGCCCCAAAACACTGCCCTCGTCACCCATGTCACTTGGCCCTTCGGGTCTATAGTCTATCGCAGGAGTCCGACGATCAGAAGTTACGCCTTTGCGTCCGCTGGGAGCACGAGGGCGCCAGTGGCGCATTGCTGCTAGAGCCTCGCTTCCTCACCCCCTGTGTAGCCTGGCCATGGTGGTTTTTTGTATGTTTTTGTGAGTGCATATCTTAATACGGAGATGGCCCAACCAATGGGTTTTGATCATTTTTGATCTAGTTTCCTTCTTCCAGGGGGGTTCAAACCCAGGTCGAGAGGCCCGAGGAGGAGGAGGACAAGACCTTGCTGACAGCGAAAAGACGCCTTCACCTCCAGGCAGTCGAGTTTGACCTGACTCGGGCGGATGTGGGATGCTTTTTCTTAAGGAAAGGATGAAGCAATGGCAGGACCTGCCGGTTTGCGGGGGGTGATGGCCTCAACTGTGAAGGGTGAGCAATTTTGGAATTCCAGGGGCCAATGCATAAAGAACATTAAAGAACCACATTGCTCCATTCTGATAGGAGAGGCATGTCATTGTTTGTTCGTTGTGATTGTAGTGATAGATGTGACTCTGCACCACTTTGCACGACGAAATCCATTCTTCCCAGGCAGCTGCGACCGCAGCACCTTCAAAACTTCCAGAAGCTCTTGAAGCACTTAAGACGCAGCCGCAGACACAGCCGCAGCCGCAGCCATTGCAAGCCACCAGCGTCGCACCCATCGAGGGCGCGATCGATGAAGTGGAGCCGAGGATTTGTCACGTCTCCAATGCGCCTGGGGCTGTGAATCCAGGAGTGGGGATGAGGTGGACAAGTTATTGTTCATATGGTTTTCCGGCTATCAACGGGATGAAGTACACTTAGTAGTACACCAGCTCCTTTCGGTGCGAGATCGACCGCCAAGTTCGCCAGGTCCAGAAAAGCCGACCCATGAGCAGCCACGACTCACGATGTTAGAGAAGAAACGCGCACTCTTTGGAGTTGAAGGATTGTAATTCTGTAGCGGTGATCTCCTAGAAGTGGGGATACCGTGAAAAGCAGCCTTAGGGGATTGCAGATCTTCGCCAAGCGAAGCATCAATCTACCTTGAACCATGTCTCAGCTGCTCGGTTTTCTCATGGGTGTGGCTGATCAGGTGATTGTTATTGTCCCAACTTCTGGACATACGAAGTTCTTTTAGGATCAGAAACCATGACGACCCCTTACTAAAACCAAGACAACTGCTACCGCATGCTACCGCATGCTACAGCTCAGTTCTGGAAATTAAAAAGACCTGGCTTTTGTTGTGCAACCCGTCTACATATATTTTTGTATTATAAACACTGTTGTGTAGTATGTTTCATGATCTTCAAACGGCACCAACTTTTGCCGGGTACATTCTTTAGTGAATGTGAAAAGACACCGCTACCAAAAGCGATGCCGTTTTAGGGGTTGCAAAGATGTGCTCAAAATCCATGGACGGGAAAAGACGCCGTTTGGACTCCTAAAGATGCCGTTTGGAAGCCTTAAAAAAACGCTGTCGTTGTTTTGTTTCTTCCGGTTTCATTCCGCCTGGTCACAACATGTCACAACCAAAAACCGCGGTGCTTGGGAAAAGACAAAGTAACGGCATTGTTCCCAAGATCCAGGTGTATATCATAATATGTTTGGAGGGTTCTGGCAAAGCTTTTAAAATCGTTTTGGTGGCCCATGGGCAGGGTTTTAATCCCATCATCGAACTTGTGGATGAACACATCTTAAGTGCCTTGCTGTTTCTTCATGTTTCTTCTGTCCCACTTGGTGCATCCGATGTCACCAAACTCTCCAGGTGGAAAGCTTAACTCCTATGCCTCCGAACTGCTCTGGCACCTTCCTTGGCGCACTCTCCTGGCTCGTGGGCGCGTCACTTGGCAAAGCGGAACAAGAATTGCCATAGCACCTTACTGCCTCCAACCTACTTGCGATGGCCTCCACCTAATAGCGTCCTTGCTCCTAGTAGCTTCTTGTTCCTAGTAGTAAGGCCAGGAGCTACTAGTAGCGATGCTCTTTGTTCCTAGTAGCATTCTTGCTCCTCAGTTGGGCCTTAGAACGCAAAAAGACTGTTCGGGTGCAGGTCAGGTTTATGCTTCCGTTTTGCACATGGCTACACCCAGTTACTTCGGGTGCGGGTGCAGGATCTGTGAGAGTTTCGATTGTGTTTTTGGTGACTTTGGGCCCATTGCATTACAGAGATCGGACCGACATTTGAAGGTCCTGAGACAGATTTGTCATAATTGCAAACCAAGGGGCTTTCACTTGCCAGTCTATGACCATTCAAAAGCTATTGTTTCTTTCGGACCACTGCCGTTGAAAAAAGGGATGGCAAATGAATCCTGACATGGAAGGTGCATCAATGTGCCAGACAGGGCTGTGAACAATGCTCCAAGCATTCACTTGGCCTCCAAGTTTCTCAATGACAGGGTTCACACCCCAGCCACTCACTTTTCACCACCTTCATCCACTAGCATTCGGCCATAGTTGGCCTCTCTGCAGGCATACGCGGCATGTGGAGGAAGAGTTCCCCACGGTAATTCGTTTGTCTTCGGTGCTGGCAGCTGATCCACAGCCTCGAGAGCAGTTGCCCGGAACCATTCAGGAAGGGCTCACGGGACGGAGTCCCATGAGGTGGGCAGATGACCACAAACCGCAAACGGGATTTGAGGCGCAAACCGCTTGGCAGAGCTGAACAAGGCTAGTGTTTCAGCCTGTGCCAGCCAGGCGAACTTTCCTCAAGCTCATGCTCCCGGCCAGAAATTTCAGGACAGTTTGCCCCATTCCTTCTGGAAATCATGTGATTTCGGCCACTGCAAGTTGGACGGAAAAGACGTCCAAGTCTGGTCTCTTCAGTGTGTGTAGATTGAAAGGTGACAACTCTAGCTTGAAACATGCACTTGCCCGCCACTTGCGCCAAACCAAATCTAACCAACCAAGCAGAACAACCCCCAAACCATCCCAAACCCCACCTGGTTGCGCCCTGGTGGGCGCCGACCTTCGATGGATGCTGCCACTCTCCAGGTTATCATGGCTGCTGCCGATCTCAGAGACGCCGGAGCTGGGAGATGATCCTGACCTCATCTTTGTGCCTCGGTGGGCGCCGTCCTGGAGCGTCCAAAGAGGGGACAAAGAGGGGTGACGACATGTGACGGCTCCAAAATCTCAGCCAACTCCTGCTCAAGCTCGTTCACGTTCGTCGTTTGTGTTGTGTTGAGATTCAAAGGTGGGATTGAATCTACTACTGATGTATCTCAGAGATCCCTACACAACTCAAAGTTGGCAACAAATAATCCGAAGACCCAGCTGCGAAGGTGTTCGGGCAACATGGTTTGCACAACGAAGGGGAAACTGGACTCCATCGAGACCACCATAATAAGTCAAAAGAAGAGGCAGGTCGGAGCGGTGCAGCAGAAGTTCAAGGTCCCAGAGCTTTGCTGCTGCTTCAGGGGAGGTGAAAAACAAAGCTCATGAGTTTTGCTTGGCAGATTTGGTCTCCGGTTTTCATGATGCCTGCACAGACTACAAGCGAGACCGAGATAGGCCCTCACGAGGTGCCAGTGGGAAATACTCTCGGTCGCGCCCTGGCGTTGTATGGCCTAATTGGCCAGGTCTATGGAGGCGAAGCTCTCCACTTTCAGCTGAAACATCCCAACTACGCCTTCATCGGTGCTCGCCATCAACTTCGACGGGTACACCTTGCACTCTATAAGAAGCCCAAGTTCCTTGATCATGACAAGGATCTGTGATCTGACCATATCTGGCCCTTTTCTCTTCAAATTTGTTGGCCATGATGGAGGCGGAAATGAAGACACATGCTACGCGTTGCCGATCCGCATGTTGGAGAAATTCTATTGGAAGCGCTTGCTGCAGCCCGAGATTGACGAAGAAGCTCATGGGAAGCAACGCAGTCGAGAGCAGGGCCCGTCAGGTGCTGAGGAGCTAACGACATTTTTGCCCAGTCACCTTTGCTCTGAGACAACGAGGCTTTGAGGAAAGTCTCTTAAAGATCGTAGATCAGTGGTTGCGGAGTTTCTTCTGCATGGGCAACTTTCAGAGACTCATTAAGGTGCTCTTCAAGGTGAAAGTGGACAAGAGTGACCCATTTCGAGATCTGCGGCGGATTGGCGCCTGCTGATGCAAAACTCGGACAAGCTTTTGGAGGCGTGTGATCACCGAGCAAGCACCAGGGACTTGGAGGCAATCGCCAAGCAAGTAGTGCTGGGCCGCAGCTTTTTCCAGGTGTTGGCAGATGAACTGCAGTGACATGGGGTTCACCACTGGAGACTTGGTGGCCATGCTCGAGCTTGACAGCGTGCTGCCGGGCTCGGGCCTTGTGATCCCTGCGGCCTGCGCTTGCATGGGCCTGGCGGCTGTCTACAAGGAGGGCTTGGGCAAGCGTGTGTCCAAGTTCTGCAAGCCTTCAAAAGATGCCATCATGGGGGGACCATTCTTCGTGCAAGAACCGGAAGAAACGGATGGCTGATGAGAGCCTGAAGGTGAACCTGGACGAGGAAGTCACCTTTGAGTTCTTGTTGGGCACCGGGCAGTGGCAGACCAGCTTGAGGCTCATCTACGACGCTGTGATCTCAATGGACTTGAACCCCCCCTTTGCCAGTGATGCAGCAAGCCTATTCTTACAAGTACCGAGACTACGACACTTCCAGAAACATGGGCAAGTTGGTCAAATGTTTGGGGAGGCGGAGACGAAGGTTGGAAGGACAAGCAACAAGGGCCGCAGAACTATTGAGAACTGCTGAGCGAAATTCGTGCACTGTTTTGAAGGCGCACTCCAAGGACCACCTGCGCTTGGGAAATGACTTTCTGGAAAGTAGTTGTGGAGGGAATTGATGACGCACGTCACACAACTGATCATCTATAGAAGCCATTTTGTGAGAGCTGCCAGGAGGTCCAACAACGGGCTGCAACCCTACAGACTCTCTGCAATTGGGCATGTATGGAACGCAGAACTATTTAGAGCAAGCCCACCGTCCAAAAAAAGGGTCGCTCCGACTGAGGGGGTGACTGAAGATCTAGTAGGTGAACATCTAGAGGAGAAGTCCAGGAGGGCATTCCATTAAGAGCAAGTCTAAATCAGTCCACTTCCGTTCCTCAGAATCTATTGGGGTGAACATCCAGCAGGTTGGCCTACTCAATCCACAGATGTGATCCCTCCCGCCGAAACACCAGGACTTCCTCTCTTTTGTAGCTCCGCCTAAGGAGCCCACTGAGCGGTTGCATGGAATCAGCGAGACCTTGGAACAAGGCACGCGGAGAGGGTTCACCTCCACTGAAGCTCTGAGAAGCTGTTCTTGAAGAAGCTGAGGGAACGGGGAACTTGTTCAAGAGGAAGCAGCACTGGGAAGATTCAGCTAGATGAAAGAAGTCAACCAGATGGTAAACTTGTAAACTCTCCAATCAATGCAGTTCGTTGTGTGTGGGTGTTGGGCCGAAGAGCCACCAAATCCAAGAGACACCAAAAACCAAATCCTATAATAGACGACACCAAAAATAATATCCAAAAATCAGATGAACGTCTAATACGTGCTTGCTCTTTGAACAATACGTAGACTTTCATCTATTGGTATACGCGCTTGCTCTTTGAACAACAGGTCGCGTGGACGAGGTGTTTTTTCCAAAAACTCCCTGACCAGGCGACCTGGTTCTGCTCGACCGTGGGCTCCAGCCCTCAAGGTTTGCCTCCTGTCCAGCAGTGGTGAAAGGCACATCGGCTGAAGGGCCCAGTTTGACATCGCTTCTCATCAATAGCAAGGAACACATAAAGATAATATAAGAGAATCAGCCATAGCTGTTTTGGAGGGAGACGTATCATAGGCCTCGAGGTCGCTTCGCAGGAGGTTTCAGGAAGCGTCCTTCAACTACATGGCAGAGGTCAAAGCGACCCAATTGTCCAAGATAGTTTCCAGCCTTTGGAACTAGAGCATCCTCGCGGCCCACCCTATTAGCATCAAACCAAGCAGCATCAAAGACACCATGCCGTGGTATATTCATATATATATATATATATTATATCTGTGTGTGTTTTCATCCCATGCTTGGGCATTTTGAAGTTTTTGCATTTCAGGCATCATGACATCAGTTTGGCCATGCCCAAATCGGCCGCATGGGTCCTGATCCAAGAAACTCACCTTCACCACCTGCCGAAGAGGTCTGAATAGCTCGGGCTGTAGCGTGGCCGTGCTCGACGAGTCGCGGAGCATCTTCATCGGTGAGTGAGGAGCTGAGTCGGTAGATTGAGGGTAAATGGAGTGAGTCCTGGCAGAAGAAACACCTCAAGGGATGTCAACGACCTTAAGAGTTTATTGGAAGAATATCAAGCAGTTGTCAGGAAGGGTGTGAGAGAGAGAGGGGATGGGAAGATGAGCTCTTGAACTTGCATTGACTCCATTGGGTTCTGCATACGTCACAGGCAGTTCAGTGCTGCTACTGCCATCATGCAGTTTTTCTGCAAACGGAAGAGGGGTGCTTCAAACACGTGCTGCTCCACTGCCCAAAGCTGGCCGTTTTTGTTGCCGCTATGGAACCATAGAAGAACATATACTGTAATACAATTGTCGTGTGTCCAAGCACTTCATGCAGTTGATGAGGTTGCATGTGGCCCTCTCTGACGTGGTGCTGGTGCATTCGGATTGGCGTTTGGGGACACGTGTAGTTCTTGGTGGTCTTCAGAGCAGCTTCTGGGCTTTTGTCGTTGAAGGGCAGGCTTGGGTGCACGGCATAAGCCACCCTTTCGAGGCAAGGAGCTCCTATCGAGCGAGTTATATAGCCGCCGTTTGTTGATGAGAGAGCGCCAATTTCTGCGAAGAAGAAGCACACCAGGATGAGCTCTTCCCCAGAACGATGACAAAGCTAGTCGCGGGTTTTGATTGCAGCTCAGGTCACATGGTGCATTTAAATGGTTTGTCTGCAGTCATTTGCCCGCACAAGCGTCACGGCCATCCATGCGTCTTGGATGAAAAAATATGAAAACTCAGATGCGCATCGTCATACGAAAAACATCGTCATACGCATCTCCTGGATGACCATTGCTTCTTCGCCTCGCTTCGGAGCGGTTGCTTGAGGCTTCGTTCACAAGCCCAGCTCTCCGAACACGGGCGAGTGGCTGACCTTGTGTGTCCCGACGGGTCGGACGTTGGGGCCCTGGGGGATGGGGGACGGGTCGCACAGTGACGGTGATAGTTCCACAAGTCGGGCAAGGGAAGAAGCATGCAAGGAAGTGGTGTTTTTGGTCCAGGTATTCGCTTTGACGAGCCGAAGAAATCGTCCATGCACGCCGTTCTACTGGAGCCTCGATTCCTGGTGGCGGACGGCCGGGCACGTCCACAAGCACATCCCGGAACACCTCGCTTGGAAGGGTGTACCCCGTGGGGGCCTCAGAGGGACGGCTTGTGACCGGTTTCTAGGTGGACCTGTGCGAGTTGCAAAGGAGTGTCTTGAGTTCCATCCAGTGAGTGGATAGTAGTGGGCACCCTGGGCACCCGTATTCTCACATCTCATCATCTGAGAAAAGGTCAGTCTACTACCCTGGCAGTCCACTGAAGGTTGTATGTAATCATGGTAGTCTTCAATGCAGGACGATTCCTCAAGACTGATGACAGATGGTATGACAGCCTTTGATGTTTCTTGATGCTCTCACTCACAAAGAATGGTTGCAGTCTGCAATCACAATGCGCATTAACTATACTAGTTACTAGTTAACGTCCTTGTTACTGGTAGTAAGGCCAGGAGCTACTAATAGCGCCCTTGCTCCGTTCATTGCGATGCCCAGTAGCTCCTTAGTAGCTTCTTGTCCAATTACTGCACGTTGCGTTTTGGATCTTTGGCACTTTTTCACCAGTGTTCCTGTTTGCCCAGGTCCAGTGGGAGCATCCCAAGGTCGAGTTCTTTGACAGATCAGCTGCATAGTGTTCCAAAACAACCGTCAGGCGTCTCCATCGCTGGGTATGTGTGGGGATGTGTGGGGTGCCTGGGTCGAGGTGGGCCCTGTGTCGCATGGCTTGGGTGTGGCCGCTTCTTAAAGTGAAGCGACCCAACAGCGTCACCCGTTGTGACGAACGACCGGTCGCCACAGGGTGGACGAAAGGTTGCAACATATGTACAAACCCTGCACTGCTTGAGATACCCAGCAATGCACCATCCAAATATATCTAAGTAGACAGATTTTAATACGTAATTGAATTAAAAAAGTTATATAAGCATGAACTGCAAATACCCAAGGACATGTGACAGTCAATGTGACATGTGGATCTCCATAACTGTCAGGTGGAGAGGTTGCATGGGACCTGTAGGGCTAACGATTGCTGCGGACTGCCGGGCGCGCAAAGACGTTTCTGGGTGTGTGTGTACTTAGACCGATGATACTACCAGCTCGGTCGATGCTGGATGCTTGAAAGAACACATACAGACCCCTAAATGGTTGTAAGTTGTGAGTTCCTTTGCTTCAGCGGGCCGCAGGTAATCCACACCGTTCACACCGCAAGGGTCCATCCGTACAATCTGCAACTCAGTGACCCAGTGGGAGCCAGAAGAAAGCATCTACAGTCTATACAGCATTGGTGTGTCTAAAGTGATTGTAGCATGTTTGTCACTAAGTATGTCCTCCCAAACTGCCTCCTTTTGGCCCCTGAGATCCTGAGTTAGCAAGGCACAGCTCTGCGGTCATGTTCACCACTTCTGCCGTGCTGGGTGGATGCCAGGTTGCAGAAGACCGTGGATGAGAGCTAACAGTTACCAGGGCCCAACAAGAGTGCCGAAGCAGTTCCTTGGTCGTGGCATGTCGTGGGCTGAGGGAACGTGCGTTCCCATAAGGGCAGCCATCCATGGCTCAGTGGGCCAGGATGGAGTTGCTGAAAAATGGAAATTGTGACCCTGTGCTGGTCCGCAAGCTGGTGGTGGGTGTCAATCCATTTGAACACCTCGCTCAAGCGCTCACCATCGGGGTGGAACACAGTGGTATGTTGACTGGTGCTGTTCTCATAGAGTCATAGAGTCTTGAATGAACCCCGCGAGCTTTCCCATACTCATCGCCGCCTCATCACCCGGCAGAATTCCTCCAAGCTAACTGTGCTGGCACCGTGCTAGATAGACATGAATACCTTACGATTTGCCTGCTTGCCATGGCTTGGTTGGTGGGTGGCTCGGCCGTGATGTGCATGTGCACCAACATCTCAAGGTGTTGCTGTATGTTGGAGGCCATCGCTAGTAGGTTGGAGACCATCGCTACTAGGTTGGAGGCCATCGCTGTTATATAGGTTCCTTTTGCTACTAGGTATTATTTCCCGTTTTTTGATTCCATTGGTATGTGATCATCCAGCCGGCCGTAATTTCAGCACACCCTTTGGAAAGTCCGAGGCCAACAGCCCCCTCGCGCCTGACGGGCACGTCGATGTCCACTTCACCTGGCAGTTTGCTGAGGCAACTCTCTTCGCCATCGATGACGTCAGGCCCGATGTGTCACGGAGTTGGTCCAAAAAAGACCGCCGCGACGTCGCCGGATGTTGGATCTTCATTCACCAAAAAAAAAAGGTTTTTCCCCACCTGTCAGGTGAGGGTTGTTAGATTTATGTCAGCCCCATCTTCCTTCCTTCCTTCGTTCCTTCTTGCTTCCTTCCTTCCTTCCTTCCTTCGTCTTCCGCCGGACCTCAACCACGACCATCCACGTTCCCTGCCGGACCTCAACC